TTTTTACCTTTTCTCTGAGTGATTCAGCGAGTTGGAAACTCAGAAATGTTGCAGGAGGGTGTTAACGCTATCTGCTTGTAGTCTAGTTCTTAGTTCACAGTATTGATGATAATATTGATAGCTGCAGTTTTAACCTAGTGGAAAATGGAATGTGCATCACAAGCATGTCTTCATAACGTACCGCCAATGTAAAACGTCACACTGCAACTGTAAAAAGGCCAAGGATTCAAGCTGCCTGTCACGTCTCTGTACGCCATCAGATACTGAACGGTATACTGTAAACTGTATCTTAGTTTATCTATATGAAACGACATTGTTCAGTTGTACCAACAGTTCAAAGTATTTGCAAATTTTACTACACTTTTGTTTTGTATATGTGGGGGGAGTCTTATGGCATATAAATTCTTCAAATTGAGTCAGGAGTTTAAAAGCAGACTATATTTTATAACGGCCTTTTAAGTTATTGCGGCCAAAGCACTGATATATATTTGCTGTAAAGAGAATTTAAGAGTTTTATTTTTCTGATATTAAAGTTACTTATTAAAGACTTTCGTTTAAAGCCACCCCCGACTGCTGTGATTCGTTATGTCAAGTGTTTTGATGACGATATCTTCTATGTTCTACTGTTTTTAGAAATTTGCAAATGATCCTTTGTGGTGCCCCTGGTTCTGATTCCAAGTTCTATGGTTCTTTCAGTATACTGGTCAAAGAATTCTAGAAATAAATTCTGGACAATGAGGCCTGCACCTAGCAAAGTACATGAATTTATAAACGTTGCTATAATTCGTCAGAATCTACGAGCTCTAACAATCATTTCTATAATTTAGAAATTACCATTGAACCAGAGGAGCCGCAGAGAGCAGATGGGTTAAACAAGCATGACTAATAAGCTAAGATTACATTAAACTGTGTAAACGTGTTACCATGTTAAGAAAAGGAACTCTTAAGAGAGAATATCAGGCCATGTTTAATTATAGACTCACATAAGAAATACAGGTACAATTTATATCTGTCATAGTAGTCAACATCAGCTCATTCCAGCTGTGTCTTTAGGCTCCTAATAACTGCAAGTAATATAAAAACATCTGTAAAGTTAAACAGAAAATAACAGTTTCTCCAGACAGAGTTCGGCATCATTTCTTTCAGTAACATGTCTGAAAATATCTCGTTTCCTTCCACTCGATAAATCAGATGCATGATTATGTGAATAAACCTCAAGTGTTGACTCTTTTAATCCCTGATGTAGAAACTCCTTTGACAATTTTTAAATTATAGTGAAACAAAAGGAGAATGGGACAGAGATACTCAACAGGAAACCAAAGTTTACAATTTCCTGTGATGAAAAGACCCCAAAAAGTATTTGGACATTTTCAACAGTGACTTACAACAGTGTTAGAGCCACTTAAAGGGGAAAAACACTAGGATTTTGAGATCACAAGAGAAAGTTGTAATTTCACGAGAATAAAAAGGCTTTGTGTCCTGTTCAAGGGGGAATAAGAGAAGATCAGCCTGTCTGTGTTAAGATGAACAGGAAGCAACAAATTACTAAATAAGTTACATCAGCACCAGGCTACCATAAGTATCAGGACTTTGACATTCTATTCTGAAAAAATAACTCAGGAAATAATTTCTTTTTGGTTACATCTGCGTGATATTCAAAGAGGTTTCATAGTTTCTCAAAAAAAACTATTGGATGGTTTTGGATCCAGAAGTTGAACTCGGGAGAGCATGAGTTCTCCTCGCTGGTTATTTCCTTTATTCTTGTAATAGGACATTTTTTCCTCGTTAAATTATGACTTCTCTCTCGATCACAACCGTTTTCCAGTAATATTATTCTCAAAATCTCAGAATGTTTCTCTACAATATGGCTCTAACACTGTCGTAGTAACCAACCAAAACTGGCAAAGAAAAAGAAAACATCAAGTGATTTAAAAAAAACAATTGTCTTAGAGTGTGTTACCAGATGATGACAACAGATTTTATGGCAGTTTGGAGTAAAATAAATCAAGTATGATCCGATGTTTGTGAGTCTCAACAAGAGGAGAATGAATGAAACGTTTGTTCCTAAATAACACTGTGTACTCTGAGAGAAGCCTTTAAAGGCAGTGTTAATAAGGGTATCACATGCAGCGCAGGGCACTCGTGCTGAAATCAAAATCAAATCTTGTGTCAAACAACCATCACCCGTTACAACATCAGCATAGAAAGAGAAAATATGCTTGTACTCATTTTACTGAAGAAGCTTCATTTATACAAAATTAGATCTTGGGAGCCATTTTTTATAAGAGCTCTGCTGCTAAAAGGTGAGTTTTTGTCATTAAATTCAACCGTTAACATTAACTGTGGCTATATAGCTTCCCTCAGTGTTCATGTTCTCCTCTCCTCGTCCTGTTTCCTCATCTAATGCAGGCAAAGTGAAGCACCCCATGTCAAATACAGGAGTGGGGATAAGGATCTATTTGCGATTAAAAGTTCATGCGAACATTGACATGCATTTCAAAAACAAAGTTATTTACATGGATTAAAAAGAAAAAAACTGCAAATCAATAAGAAAAATGACAACTCAAAGAATCCCTAAAGATTAGTGTCCATGACTAGAGAGTGAAAACTGATTTTTTTAAACGATTGCATCACAATGTTGCCGCTGCTCACAATCCTATGTCAACTATACATCGACCTATTCCCTCCCTTTGTCGTGGAGGAACCATCTCAAAATAAAAGTTATTTCATTCAAATCAACAGAAAAAGTAAAGTGCTACAAAAATATTATGCAATTAATAAAAGTAACAAAAATAAAAACCAAGAAAATATATCAGTATTGCTGGGAAACGTATAAGTCCTCACATCACTGTAAATAAACTATAACAAGAGACCTGGATCAAGTATGTGGGCTGCAAGTCTGAAGATATTTACCGATTCTCAACTTATGTGTAAAGACTGTCTGGTGATTCTGAAAATAAAACTGAATAAAATCTAAAGCAATACCAAATTTTAATTGGAGAAACCTACAAATTAACAAATGTCGGGTAAACTCCAGCAGCGGACTGGACAAAACGTATGTTTTTGGTTTGTGAAAACATCAGTAAACCATGTCCCTTGTACTGTGATTAGGCTTCATCCATACTACTAGGTTTTCATTTGTAAATGGAATTTCAAACATTAACGACCAGACAAGCGTATCAGTCCGTATCAGTTCTCATCCTATTCCACGCTGCTCTGAAGTTTTCAAACCAAAACAGAGTCAGCAGCATTTCTGAACCTCTGTTTTAGCAGCTCTGAAACTCTGCAGTAGTGTGGACGCCTGGTGTATCTGTAGCAGAGTTGATGCTCTTTAAAACAAAAACAGTAGTAATGTGGACGTAACCTAAATCTCAGCCATCTGCCATCAACTGTCTGTATTGCCTCCTCCCATTCTTTCTCCTTACTTCAATCTTATTGAACAGGAAGAATCTCAGATTTTTACATTTTCTGCTCTCAGCAGGAAGGTGAGAAAAGGCAAGAAGGAATTTACTGAGAGCCAATGAGATTTATCTTTTGAGACAGCGTGAAAAAAAATTGTGTTTTTCAAAACTGTAACCGCACCTGAATCAGGGGGTGAAAACTGCTTATCTACGCCTCTTGTCGTCTCTTTTTCCCCCAGAAAGAAATGATAAAATCACACTAAGTCATTCAAAACACTGCATTCCCAATTGGTAATTTACTTTGTATGTCATGTTACAACACTCCAAAAAAACCCAGCATCACTGTAGCTGCTGTATGATGTGAAGAGAAGGATATTCCTGACACCTGCATGTTTTAATCTACAGCTTTTCTAATTAGATTTGTCAATGGATTCCCACCAGGCACAGAAATGCAACCATCTTTTAAAATCAACTCTGTAAATTGGCAATACCTGACAGAGAAAAGTCCCTAGTCTTGACCTGTTTCAGTTCAGCTTAGCCATGCTGCACTTTCTTTAACTCTGTATTGTTGTGGATGTCTGTGAACGACCTGATCCAGCAGGGTGGTCCCCGGGGTCCGAGATGCAGTGATCAGTGAGATATCCAGCAGAAATCCCTGCCGCTCAGAGTGTGAGCGATTTTCTGTTCAGCCTGATGACATGACTGAACACTCTCGTCCTCCCAGGTGTAGATCAGTGTGTAACAGCTGCAGAGAGAAGTGACAGGCAGAAAAGCAGCAGCAGACACTAGATATGAGAGCATCTGAGTGCAGCGTCTCACCCCACAGCTGCACAGCGCTCACATGTTCCTGTTGTTCATTGACTCTTATACCTGTCAGTCGTTGATGGTTGTTGTCTACTGGGACGATGATTTGTCTGTGTAACATTCCAGTTTTAATGGGACCTGCAGGTCTTCTATGTGCATGTTGTGGTGCTTTAGGATTGCAATCACTTGTAATATTTACTGCTATCTTTCACCACTGTCACAATCACAACTCAAAGCCATCTATAAAATATAGGTAAACATATCTTTCATATATGGCTCTGGTGTGACTGGATTTAGTGTTAGTCTCTGGGCCAAAGCGAACAAAGGGGCCTTAAACACACCTCAAAGTTTTTCTCATGTGGGACACAGTGTCACAGCTTCACGGCTCTTTCACTGGTTCAGTCCAATGCTGCAGTTACAAACAGCTCAGTCCAGAGGTTGAGGGTCTGCTATAGGCATCGTGTGCAGAACCTCATCCAGTAACTGGAGAGCTCTGTGCAGGTGGATCTCGATCCAGCATGGGGTCTCCTTGATGCTCTGGCGGGGGTAGTCTGGCCCCCAGCCCTTAACAAAACTCATCCTCAGGATGCACAGCCTCCGCAGGTCGTCTACCCCTATACCTGCTGCCGCTGAGAGACCTGAGCAGGGGGAGAGGAGAGGGAGTCACAATCAGGTCATGTGATGCAGTATATGTGATAAACTTAACACCAGATGTACCATTCATTTATATTGAAAGGAATATTCAAGTAACTGTGAGTAAAATAAAACCAATTTTAGCGCAAGAATCAAAACAATCAGCTAAATATTTTCTGGTTCCAGCTCAAATGTATGTTTGCTTACCTCCACGAGATAAACTATACAAACGGAATCTTTTTGTATAGATATTATGGTTTATGGACCGTTGGCCGAAACAAAACAAGTTATTTGAAGAATCCAAATTGTGCTTCAGGAAAATGTGTTGGGTATTTCTCAATGGTTGCCATCCTGCCATTAACCTCTTCCTCCAATAAATACATCCCATATGTAATGAGTTCTTGGAGCAATGATGGCAGCTGTCTGTATGTTCATTACTCACTGGCAGTGATTTAGATCCTGATTGCACGATGAGCCTTACAGACAGCTGGAACCACTGCCTCACTCCCTATACATCCCAGTCTTTGTGTGAATGTGAATCTGTATTGCAGTCTCTGTATCTTACTTATAGCTGGAGCGATGCCTCCTACTGATCCAGGTCCAGGTATATTTCCAGCCACAGCTGCTGCCTGAGCTGCTGCTGCTGCTTGAGCTGTGGCCGCCTGCTGTTGCATCTGTCTGTGGCACTGTCGAAGGTCAAACACCTGGCAGGAGAGAAGAGGCTTTAAATACTGTACATCGAGCAGCAATTAGCCCCCTGCACAGGAGCGATTTGACGTAAATACCAGCGGAGGCTGTGAAGAGATGGAGTAGAAAGTGATTTCAGCAGCTTCCCACGAGACAAATAAAGATTTTATGAGATGTCAACCATGAGCGATGCCTCTTTTTATGGTCCAGGGAGTTTGTAACAGAATAAATGTTGTATGAGGAATGAAACCCACGTTCGTACCTTGATGTATGCGCTGGGGTAGATTTTGTGAACGGCGTCTCCGGGGGCCCGGCCCGCTTCTCTGTCCAGGTAGTAACTCTGGACAAACACAGCGTGGTCACTGAGGCATCGCACCCACACGTCTCCCTCACCTTTACACTCGAGCTGGACTCCTTTACCAATGTGAAGCCTAGGACAGAGGAAAATAAGGAATAAATTAAACAGGAAATTGTTATAATAGCAGTTGCCCCCCCAATGTTTTTCACCTCCTGCCAGTTCTTGTGAGCATGCTGAGAGAGTAATGGACTCATTCTCATGAAATGTTGTTGGAAAGCACCTGTAGTGCAATTAAAACAAACTCCATAAGCGAATTTTTAGATAAAGAGAAAGAAATAAAAGGAACGTAGTGTAAAGGAGGAGTGGATAGAGAAATAGTGTTGATTAACTGTCATCAACTAAAAATGTCAAGTGTTAGCACATCTGTCTGCTGGCTTATGGGATTGTTCTGCTTTAAAATTCACCCACCTGGCTCTTTCGATGGCCTCAGTGCGATGTACGTTACTGAGCTGACCCAAACAGAACCTGTCTCCCCCTGACGGGTCGACATAACCGTCCACTGTCACAATGGGGCAAGAAGAGGGAACTTTAAACGTCTCCCCAACCTGAACGTCCATCTCAAAATAGGCAATGGAACACCAGTAGTCAGGAGCTGAAACAGAGGGAAGAAGCTGAAGTCAGAAATCATAAATGGAAACAAACAGTATTTCCCCTTGGTCTGCGTGAACAACATCTTATAAAATTTATGACTGATGTTTTCAAATTATTTGAATAAAATTAACAACAATTCAGATGTATGAGAGCGTGGTGACTACCTGAAAACTCAACTTGATAGACTAAAACCACCAATTAAATTTAGTTTTCTCTACTGTAACGTGTTAATGCAAGAGTTGGCTTCGTAGTGATGCCAAAATATATTAAAGTAGCTTCTTTAATTGATTTAATAATGAAAACATAATAAAAACGATATATTTGATTATATATATTTTGATGAACTGCGAAGCTGTTTCAACAGTACTTGCTATAACTTTTAAATGCAATATTATGCTGATCAGAAATTGCCATCAAAGTGAAATATATCTACAGCAAATTATACCAAACCTTATGCCTAAACCAACAAGGGTACTTTGTGGATAAACCAAGAGTGGATACAAATTTGCTACCAAATCTGCACAGTTCGTCAAATTAGTTAAAGGGGTTTTGTCAAAAATCAGGCCTGCTTCCATTCAAGGTTCATGTACCAGAGGATTGTGAGGTCTCACCTGGATGATTAGATATAGGAGGCTGAAAGGCGAGCTCATTGTGCACGGGCCCTGAGAGAAACAAACACAACATGGATCATCAGCTTCACCAAGAAATATGTATGTTTTTTTATTAACGTACAGGTGCCGTAACCATGTACTCACAGTAGTGTGTTGGATGTGGCATAGGAGGGTGGTGCTGTAGATGACCGTTGGTGTGGTGTGAAATGTTTGGGGTGAAACTGCTGTTCCTGGACCAGGTGGAGCTGGCACCTGACAAGAAAGAGAGAAGAGAAGTCAGAGATGAAGTATGAATTCACAAAACAGTTCAAAATTATTCTTATACTAATAATCTCAAGTGAACATGTAAACGATTAAAAAATATACATTTGTGAAGTCAAACTTATAGATCTAATAAGTATCTAAAGATGCATAGACAAAAAGCCAGACAGATAAACATGTAGGAGGTTTTCTTACTGCCTGATCCAGCAGCGATGGCAGGAAAGGATGACGTTGAGGCAGACGTGGAGGCCTCCGCAGGTGGGAGCAGGTTTGGGGTTGCAAACGACTCAGAGGGGGCCGGCCGGCTGCCAGAAGGGGGGTGCTGGATGGTCTGGAGGGAGTGCCCCCCCTCGATGGAGGGCAAACTTGGCTGTCCGTCAAAATCATACTCATCCTTTACTATCATTCCTGAGCTGGATACAGAATTGTTCAGGGTCAGTCCTGATAAGTCTGTGGACCAAGGAGATAAAGACACGGAACAGGTTACTGCCAATACAAATGTCTTATCGCTTTTTAAAAACGCCAACTGAAAACCTCTCTGTTACTCACCTATGCTCGGAGACACCACTCTCTCATAGTGATAGGGGTTGACGCACACACTGTCACACTTAAGGTCAAAGGCAAACTGGCAGTATTTGACGTGCTTCAGTTCGTTCTTATGCAGGTCGGGCCATCGCCACAGCCGTGCATAGATGACATGAGGGAACCCTTTACGTCCCGCCACCTGTGGACAGACACAGGGCAAACAAGGACAATTCATGTGTCAACTCGCTGTCCTCACAGCTGAGGTCAAACATGAGATTAAGTAGATTACTGGAAGACTGAGGATACAACTTGTTTATTACTGAACAGGATGAACAGGATCCTCCATCTGGACCAATACAACCTGGTCAGATGGCTCCAGCACAACTTTGGTCTTAAACTTACGCAAGTTAATTTTGAGCTAATTAATGACAATTCAATTTTATAATCAAATCTTATTTTTTTGTTGTCAGGTTTCTCTTTTCAGATGTTGGATCCGAAATTATTTTGAAAACACATAAACACAGACACCGTTATGTCTGTTATGCTAAATAACTAAATCAAATCCTTTCTAATGAGACTGTTTATTGTTTTAATGTAACTGATTTGAATTTCTGCTGAAATAAATGGAATGCATGGTCTTACCTGCAGCCGCCCGTCTAGCGTTCTCTGGATGGTCACACACTTGCTGGGATGGGCCCCGTTGGTGGTGATGGCGGTGATGAGAGAGTCCAGCTCGTCTTTTTTCTCTTTCAGCTTTTTCACCAGGCTCTCGATGGCCCGCTTGGCGAACGTCTCACTCTCGCCACCCTGCCTGTGACACATCAGGCTGTGCACGATGCTCAGGCAAGCATCGTTGCTGGTGGGTGTGTTGGTGATAGACATCTTGGCTTGTGTCCCTGAATAGACTTTCTGAGAGTTTGTGTGTTGTTGGCACAGTTTCACATCATCAGGAAAAAACACTATTCAGCTGTACGTCAGGTAGATCACAAACTTCTCGTCGTCAGAGGGAGAAGTGGCAAAATCTGAAAGTACATGATAACATAGACATTTTTAATGATACTGGTGTATAGTGTTATACTGAGAAGTCCTAATATTGTTTCACCATCTCATAGTCAAATCAACATCTCATTTGTTAACAGAATATTACAACCTACTGGCATTAAGTGTGTATGGCAGGACTTCTGCTTTAAATACGATGCAAGTGATGAGCTGACTAAACAGGTTGATTCAAAAATTGGCTTTAGGTGTCTTTAGGTTGAGACTGATTGTTGACTGTAGGTTGACTGGTAGAAAATCACTTGTGAACTTCGACAAACATTTCCTGGCTTCAGATTTCCAGATGTACGACATTGCTGGATATCTGCTGCTGACTATTGTTTGGACAACACAAGCATTGTGAAGGTGTCACTTTGGGCTTAGAGGAAATGTTTTTTTACTAACTAGACAAGAATTACACTCAGTAGAGAACACATGTCTGTCTAGACTCTAGAACAAACATTTCTTTGATTAAATCCAGATTATTACATTCATCGGCACCAAATACCAAACAAAATCATAGATGTTCACTTTATATATACAGATTCATATCAATATTTACACATAATGTCCTTAGAAACTGAGAAAAATATTGAAATGTTGAGAAAAGCTTAATATTTATTTAAAAAACAACTGAATCCAGCTGGAAACCTGGACCTGCACTGAAATTTAGTGGGCTCTTCCCTGAAGTATTCCTCCATCACTCCAACAAGTTTGGTGCATGACTGTTCCCTACTTCCAATCAAGCCAACAGACAGACATGGGTGAAACATGATCTCATTTGGCTGAGGTAACTATCCATCCAGTAAGCGAGGGAAAAAACTGAGATAATCCGAATGACAAGAAATTGTTGGCCGAATAAAGATAATATTTAAAATGATGAAAAAAATACTTCCACATCAGCCAAACAACAGTAAAATGATGTTATCGCAATAGCGCATGAGTAATAATGATGGAAATATATACTGAGCACATTTACTATGCTAGTAAACGAGTGCTATTACTATAAATACGTATGGTCAATCTAATTATACCTGCATACTACTACATAAGTACTATTGTGAATGCATGACTTTAACTTGCAATTAAGTATATTTACTATCTATTCCTCAGGATATTGGCAGTGTGGACACTTCAGAGGTTCAGAGTCTGTTTGGCAGAAACGCATGAACTACAAACACTCCCGGTTTAACGAACTTAGTATCTGTTTAATGAGAATATTAAGAGTAACAGCAGCTTACCAGGATTTTTCTCTCGTGCAGCTGAGTTTAGAAAAACACGGAACTGTTCGTGCTGCAGTAAAAATCAAGTCGAAGTTGTTCGTGTCTGCTTCGTTAGCTTAGCGGCGCCAGTCTGGCTGCAGTTTGTTCATCCAACTGGGTCAAGTTACTGTGAGTGGACTGAACTCACCGGAAGAGAGCACTTGATACCTCAGAAATAAAAGGAAAGGCTGCTGACGATGTGAGCACAAACACATTGACAAAGGGTCTACACTTTGAGTTTGGGCTAGAAGACATCAGCTGAAGAGGAAGCTCTACAAAGTGACCCAGCACACATTAGTGATCGCACAGCAATACGAATGTGTGCGTCCCAAAACTCTGAGTTAGGTTAAGGTGATCAGAAGTTAAAATTCATCCCCAGTGCCCCTTCAGTGCGTTCACACCTGAACTTAAAGACTGTGGATCACCTGACACAGACATGAACCCCAGGTCTGAGCAGGACGTTCTTTTAGCAGAGTGTAGATGATCGTGTTGACGTGAATCGAGGAACCGTTGACGTAGCTGACGTCCTCAGCAGAAGAGGGATCACAGATCATGTTCTAAAATGGGATAAGCTGGGCTTGTCTATGTTGTCTGGAAGTTTCAGAAAAGCAATAGTTGTTTCATTGGAAGTTATTCTGTAAGTGGTTTAATGATTCCGTCGTACATTGCGTCGATTTGAGATTGTCACTGTTGGTTGGAGGAACATGATGAGAGATTAAAGAAAAGCTTTATCACAGTTTTCTCACATATTATAGGCAAAAAGAAACAAAATCTAATATTCATTTTCGATGGTGTATTTGTTTACCACTCTTAAGTGACGTGAGCTGCTCATTTTACTTTGAAGGAACTAACCGGAAATACTAGCGGTCACTAAAGTAACCTGACACTGGATTGCTTAGCTACCTGCTACTAAAAAACATCAGCTAGCACCGAGGACTTGCTAACGTGCTAGCATGGTAGCGGGCTGTTGATTCGCTTCAAGCAGTTCCGCTGCACATTAATGTTTGACCACTTTCCTCCAGCAGTGAGCAGCTCAACCGTTTAGCACAGATAGATACACGCGGTTGTGCGGTTTTAAAGTGCGGACTGAGTCAAGCTAATCAAACAGCTAGCACGGTAGGCTACCTGGAGTTAGCTGGTGTTGCAAGCTAGCGAGAGAGAGGGGGAAGGAGGGTGGGAGGGAGCCCAGCCTCTGACCCGGGTTACTGCACCAGTGTCGGGGCCGAGCGGGTCCGTAGCTCCGGTCCTGGAAGACCTCCAGAGAAATAACCAGCTGTTTACAGAACCGTGTTGTAAAACTTACTGTGTCCGGACTGTGGCGTCACATCCTCAGATAAACACGAGTGAAGCTTCGTGTCAGAGCCACTCGGGTGCTCACTGCGCATGCGCCGCACGAGAAAAGCGTTCGTGCAGGTCATACTCATTATTTAAATACAAGTACAACGACCAAGATCATAATAATACAATGAGTCAATCATATAATAGTAAATACAT